TAGTACTTGATGTAGACTCATCGATATGGTGCTTTCTGTGGTTACAAATTCAGATAGCAAAGCTTCATAAATGATCGGAAAATTATATGTTTAATCACGCAACGTTATATATATATATATCACACACATATATATGTGATAGATATATGGGTATTAGCATATTATAGTGTCAGATCCACTTATGTATATATTTTATGGCATGCGTTTGATTAAAACAAACTTAAATTTGTAAACATGAATATACATACCTCCTAGGTGTGAAAACCACCCAACTAACCAGCTAGCTAGGCTCTAATTTGCAATTAAATTAACAAACTAGGCTAAAGTCAATTTGTAGTACTTCTGCACCTTCTTTTCTAATTTTTTTTTCTCCTTTTTCTCTTTTTTTTTTTTTGTTTTTCCTAATAAAGAGACACCTTTAATTTCTTTTGCTGATCTTAATTATATATCTCCTTTTAATTAGCTAGAATTCTGGACCTAATAAAAGCATCCCATCCTGCCCGCCCCCACATGAACAGTGGTATTACCGAATTTTGTCTAATTACTAAGAATTACCTAGCTTAATTAATTAATTAATCAATTAATGCATGCACTAATATGTCAACTTCCTTCCCAAAAAAATGGCATGCATTACACATGCATGATATATTAATTGGTTAGGCATATATATTTTTTTTAACATTACTAAGACACATGATGAAAAAGAATTATATGGATATGAAATAATATTAATTGGCCTCAAATTAAAACCGGGAAAAAAAAAACAAGAAAAGAAAAATTGCAGTACATGGAACAGGTGGAAGTCTCTGGAAAATGCTATGAGGAGGATATAGGGGCAATTTATGGACATGGTCTGGCCAGAGAGATGGGGACAAAAGGCCATCACAGGTTTTATGATGAAACAACAAGGAAACCGCCAACTGGACCTAAGAAGTACGTGAGACCGGTTTGGTTGCTTCTCTGTATACTATCTCTACTCATCTCTAGGTTGTGGTCCTAAACCCTAGTCCCTATAGCCTAGCTCCCACCCTATACACACACACACACACACACATATATATATATATATGTATAATAAACACGAAAGTATATACAACATGTGTATATATATATATATATATATCCTACTTACCATTAATAAGAGAAGAAAATACTGATCAACACTACAATTACGACAATATATATACTATCTAATGTGGGATATATATATGGGATTGGCATGATGAAGTGTCTTTTAGGGGTTCATATATATATGAACGAGTTTTCATTGTTTATTAAATATATAAATTTGATGAGGTGTTTTTGATAAGAATCTAATATCGTTAACTGTTATAAATTTTTTTTGTCAATTATTTAATTTATTATAACTGTTGGATTAATATTTTAAGTTAAAATAATAATACCTTGATGAAGAAATATTGAAATCACACACATATATATATATATATATTTACCGCTTGATCTTTTCCATAAAGAGTTGTGGGCACTCCAATTTTGGACTCATGTTTGATCATGAGACTTTATGGCACATACTTATATACACACGTATGCATGTATAATCTTGTAGTATAGATATAACCTGAGTACTATTCCTTATATTTTCTTGAGAGGAAACTTGTGGGATTTGTCTTTTTGTTTACTCATGTACCTCGCTATTTGAAAATTGAAATCAACGATCATATCATGTCTACATATATAACTGCGAGATATAAAAAAAAATTCCAGTCTTTAGGGAACAGGCCGTATACACGCATGTAACCATCATTGTAAATAAAAACGTGAAAGGAGGGAAAGAAACGTTAAATTAATTATAATAATTAAATCACTAACCTGAGTTAAACGAATCTCTCTCTCTCTCTCTCTCTCTCTCTCTCTCTCTTTCTTCTTCTTCTTCTTTTCCTTCTCCCCCCCTTGAAAACCTATAGAACATTATAAGCAAACGTGTATTTTCCTAAACACCCAAATTCAAACCTCTCCAGACCACACATTGCTTTGTTCCGTAGGTGTTTAGTTTAAAACTTCCTAAAATAGCCTAACATGTAAGTATTAATTAAGAGACTTTTTTTCTTCTTGATGTAGCAGATTACCAAGAACTATATTGGTACGTAAGTCTATAAACACAAGCAACAATCCTATATTGGTACGTTTTTGCAATTTTTTAAAGGGAGAAAGAGGAAAATAGGCCAAGACTTAAGATGAATTAAAATTAATAGGCCAATAGTTTACATAAGTTAATAAATAAGCCAAATTACTGTTGTTGTCCATAACTTGACAAGTTATTGTCAATAAATCACGGTTTTTATCCATAACTTGTATGGCTATGAACCATAACTTGACAAGTTTGTCCATAACTTATCTAATTATGAATCATAACTTAACAAGTCATGGCATATTAATTTTTATAACTAAAAATTGGCCTATATACTTCCTTAAGCTTTTCATATTGGCCTATTTTCTACCATTTCCGTTTTCTAAAGTCATGTTCTTGTTTTCTTTCTTTCTTTCTTTCTTTTTTTTTTTTTTTTTTTTTTTTTTTTTTTTTTTTTTTTTTTTTTCTCTTTTCTGACGCAACAGATTTTTGTTTTCTTATACTCTATGCCAACAAGCTGAGGGGGTTAAATAGGGATGTGTAAAAAATGTAATAACCAGATTGCAAATTAAAGAATTACACAAGGAAAAGAAATAAAGAAAAATCTATAAAAAAAAAAGCTTAGTTTAAGGAATAGGACGAGGTAGGCGATGACGTGACAATGACCATGACAATATATAGTGTACATATAATATGACAGTCGCAAGTCCCAAAGATCTGCCTATTCAGTTTGTGCATCTTCTGATCTGATAAATTACAGATAATTTATGAAAAACTATCCCTCTTGGACCGGAAAAAAAAAAAAAAAAAAAAAAGAGAGAGAGAAATTCTAACGATTACAAAAACCCAGCTCCTTTTCTTCTACTTCTTACCTCACCGTCCTATAAACCAAAAGAAAAAGAAACAAAAAGGGATTCTTCTACGTAAGGAGTTTAATTATACCAAGTAGCGTTACATTTTTTAGCGATACCTCTTATCAAAATTGCATCAAAATCAAGAAGTATGTAAATAGTCTGTTTCTAATGTAAATCTAACAATTAAAAAAGATAAACTCATTAATAATTTATTTTTTTTAGCCCTACAGTAGAAATCAGTAGCAAAAAAAGCTGTAATTAGTTTCTTTTTTTTTTTTAATTTTCCTGACCTAATATTGTATATATATATATAAACCAAACAATTATATATATATATATATATAGCTTGAAAAAGGAGCTAGAGTGGGAGCTTATAATATAGTTATGCCACCTGCAGGCATTTCCAAAAGGGGCACAACCTGATCTAGATCATCATCTTTTTCTTTTAATCATTAATCTCATTAAAACCCCTTATTTAACTCCATGATTTACACTGTAACGTGGGATCAAATTGGACCACAAAAAAAAATTGAGATATCAGATCACTTGTACATGTAGAGTTAATTCCCCATGTAAGACCCCAATTAATGCCAAATTACAATTTGTTACAGGGACTAGTCGATTTGATTTTAATGAATCTAGCCAGCTACAACTCTTCTTAGAAAGAAAACAGTTATAAACAGAAAATGGTAATAACCCTCGAAGTCCAATTATAGTAATTAACAAACTAATTACCATGAGGAGGCAAAAAGAGATTAATTAGGACGAAGAAAGATTTAATTAATATTAAAAGTTGGGGATGAAAGTGAAGTATGCTAAGAGGGGATCAGGTTTGGCCCTTTTGGGGCATATGTCACATTATTTGGTTAAGAGGGGATTTATCTTCTTTTATATGTGTGTATATATATATATATATTTGTAGACGAATCATAATTATTATAAGGCGCCTACAACTACACAAGTCGGTGTTTGTGCGTGTGCGCTCGAACGAGGAGGTGCTGCCTTTTTCCTACTGGCAGGACCATCAATATATCATCAATGACCCCAAAAGTCAAAAAACTCCAACCTAACTAGCTCTGCCCCCTCCCTACTCCAAATGGATTATATACATAATAACAATTATTATATATATTTACAGTAGTTTCAATTTTATTGAGGTAATTCTTATATATAACAAGAACAATAATAATAAAACAATTTTTTTGTTTGACTTGATGAGCGCTTTTGTTTTGGGTAATGGGTAAGGAGGGGATTCGTCAGCAAATCACTAAGGCCTAATTAATATTTGGGAAATTTTACGATAAAAATGGTCATTTTTTCGTTGCTGTTTTAGTAATTAATTAACTTTTTAACCTTTTAATATGTGAATTAAAAATTTATATTGCACAATTTAAACTTAATAATAATAATAACCTTACAACTAAAACAGTAATTTTTATCTGTGAAAAAAAGAAAAAGACAGTTCTTACTGGAAAAATTCTCTAATTAATAAAATTCATTAAGAAAAAAATTACATATGAAAAGTACGAGCTCACATGATCAAAACCACATCGCGTTCATGGGCCCCTACGTATAAACTTTCCTTGCTTTCTTTCTCTCCCTCTCTCTCTCTCTCACACCCTAAAAACAGTTGTGTTTACTTTTTTGGTTTCTGGGATGAATTAGGGGAAAAAAAATGTGGGAAGGAAGGAAGAAAAATGCCTTGTGAGATTAACATTAAGAAGCTTCCAAGGGCATAGTCAATTAGTAAAGTTGAGTTTTTTTTTTTGTTTTTTTGTTTAGATACCACCACACAAGTCTTTTCAATTCACTCTTCCTTTTTCCATATCTCTGATTGATCATATATTCTTTTCTTTGGGAATATTATGCTATATAACTTTTGGTATTATCAACAGCAAAAACTAAATTGGAGTACCACTTTGGTTTTCTACATCAATCCTCGTCCATAGCCTTAATTTTTGCTTTTTTTTCGTTTTTTTTTTTTTTTCCTTTTCTAGTTAGGGTTTGAGAATTCCTAGCTAGCTTAGTGGTCAAAGAAGAAGGCACCGACCCTTCACTTTTGTTTTCTGGTATTACTACTACTGAAAGAGAGAGGTTTCGTTTAATCTCTTATCTGGGTCTCAGAGATCTGAAAGAAAAAACTTTCAACCTTTCAAACCCAAAACAAATTTCTGCAATTCTTTTCCTCATCTTCCTTTTCTGAAGCTAGTAGGGTTTTCGAGTTTCCGACTTTTATTCACCATATTTCTGAGATGCAGTAAAGAGCCTGAAAATTTGAGGCGCATATATATACATACATAAATATTATATATAGTGATACTGGGTCAACATGGAGTTTGTGCAAGAGGATCAAAAAGAAGATCAGTACTCCGATAACAATAGAGATGAAGAAGCTCACGAGGATCAAGAGGAAGAAGAAGAAGATGATGAGGTAAGAAATATCAGTACTACCATTCAACCTCCTTTGTCGTTTTGCGCTTCATCTTCTGGGTATATCCACAACAACAATCTTCAGCTGATGGACTACTTGTCGCTGAAAAGTAGTAGTAGTACTACTACAGCCAGTCAAAGCGAAGAGGGAATTACAGAGAATATTAATAATAATAATAATAACGATGGGGTTTGGTTGTGCGGCGGCGGCGGCGTCGGAAGCGGAGGAGGCGGAGGGGAGAGAGAGCACATGTTCGACAAGGTGGTGACGCCGAGCGACGTCGGGAAGCTGAACCGGCTGGTGATTCCGAAGCAGCACGCCGAGAAGTACTTCCCGCTCGACTCGGCGGCGAACGAGAAGGGGCTGCTGCTGAACTTTGAGGACCGGAACGGCAAGCCGTGGCGGTTCCGGTACTCCTACTGGAACAGCAGCCAGAGCTACGTCATGACCAAGGGATGGAGCCGCTTCGTCAAGGAGAAGAAGCTCGACGCCGGCGACATTGTCTCGTTCGAGCGCGGCGTCGGCGACTCCGGTAAGGGCCGCTTGTACATTGACTGGAGGCGACGCCCTCATCATCATCACCACCATTTCCCAATTGATCATCATCATCAACAACAATATCATTCGCCTTATGCACAGTCGGTTAGATGGGGCGGCCGTGGCGGTAGTGGCGGAGGAGGAGGACTAATCTACTCGCTGCCCTCGTCGGTTTCCGTGCCGATGCCTCCTCCCCGACAGCACGAGAATTTTCAGTACAATTACGACATTCAGACGTATCCTTATCATCATCATCATCCATATCATCATCCTCCTCCTCCTCCTCCACGTCATCATCATCAGTATGATCATCATCATCATCACCAGCACCAGCACCAACAACATCAAATTAGCGGCATTCATAATCATCACAACATGAACAATTATCATGTTGGAATGTCAGGAAATGTAGTCTCGCCGATGGTGATTGAATCTATGCCTGCAGCAGCAGCAATGGCCGGCCGCCACGGACACCACCACGGGAAAAACGCCCCGCCGGTGGCGCCGTCGAAACGCCTCAGGCTGTTCGGTGTGAACATGGAGTATTGTCCCAAAGAAGATCATCAAGAGTCGGATGTTACAATGGCTTCGCTACTCAGTACCACAACTAGTACTGCTCATGATCATGATCATCATCATCTAATTCCTTCCTCTTCGGCTCCATTTCCTCACCAAGTAAGGTTACCAAATAACCCCTCTCCATTGCCGATAACGAATCTTAATCCAGCGGAGTTTTCTGTACACAAGGGTAAATCTGCTTCCTTGTCTTTTGATTTGGACCCTTAATTTAGTTGAGTGCTATACCACAGGATCAAATTAATGATACATCACAAAATGAACCGTGGATAGACTACATAAAGGTTTTTTTCCGACCTGGATTTCATTTTGTGTTGTATCATAATTTGCCAATCAATTGCAATGGTTGAAGATATAAAAAGTCTTCAGCCTTATTCAGGTTTGGGGGTTAATTTGTAAGGAATTCTACATGTGATGTGAAGATGGAGGTGCAAAAACGTTAATTAAGCTCAAAGTCGAATTAGATCATCACATCTTCAGTTTGTGTATAATACGATATTAAAAAAAATGAAGACACATATCATGATCTTTTGTTTATCCTTACTACAAATTGCTTCTTGAGTTTTTAGTTTCTTATGAATGAATTAATGTTAATTATATATTCCTCTTTGTTTATTAACCGCTATAGAATTACACCCTTTTATCTATATGACATGAATCTCTTGATGATCCCTTATTAGCATACTTTTTTTTAGTAGTAAAGTACATCTAATATATGTACAATATTATAATTTCTATAGTTCAAGCTGGCTAGGTAGCTTGGTGATACAGTTCAAAAAGTTGTATGTTTGTTTTCTTTTTCACTGCTGTTTGCAATACTCTTTAAATGTTAGTGTAATTGGTGCTGGATGCTGTTGATTAGTTAGGCACGCTTTGCAGGTAATGCTCAGAAAGTTTCAGTACACTGCTGTAAAAGATCGTATGTGTACCTTTGTGCTTAACTTTATTTAGATCTCTAGTGTATTTATGAAGTGGTAATTACCTTTGTTTTTACCTTAGTAATTATTCATGCTCTTATCTCCTTACATATATATATATATATGTATGTATGTATGTAAATAGCAGCCAGCTGCTTCCACTTATCTGGATTAATTGCACGCTAAAGGATCGTATATTGATTAAAGCAGAATGGTCCCAAAATGAGTAAGTCTCGTGTTCTTAGACTAGGGTATCACACATACATTGAAATTGACATTAGTGTATAGTATTTGACTAGTAGTTCAATGTGCTTTGGTTGGTGTTTGCAAATTAAGGAATATTCCTCTTCTAAATCTAATTGTTAGTACTAGTCTTAATCAATATAGATTCATAAGGTTGTCTGTTTTATATATGTCAATGATATATATTTAGCTAGTTATTAAACAGTCTAATCACATTATAAGTTGCATCAGTATCTCTATTATATTATGTTTTCATTTCATGATATTCTTAATTACTTCTGACATATATGACCTTGTACTACTGGTTAATTAGATGTGTCTACGTGAAACGTCTCTTATCATTTATATTTACTTAAAAGAAAACTAATTATGCTTGTTTTTTCAGAAATATCTACATGTATTAAGTCAAGGTCAATTGTAATAAATTACCAAAATTAATAAGTAACCTAAATGCATCACTTTCGTACCCTATACTCTAATAGTTATATTTCTCAATGGTATTATATAAGGTAAAACACTTCTATTTCCATACTAAGATTTGAATTTCATGCACCTATCAATGAAAACTGCACATGTATGAGTGCAAATTGTCATAAAGTTTCCTTGAGAATAAGAAGTCTAAGTACTAGCTTTTGATGTTTTCTAAAGAAGCATGATTTTAGAATTCTGAAATATAATAAACAGCTAATGCTATAGATATACAGAATGCATGGGAATCCTAAAACTACTGTGCTTTGTTTAAAAGCTTTCACTATTCATGAAACATTAGAACACATGATGGGACAGTGAAAATCTTAATAAAATATGTATGTTTAGGTTCTCTTTGGAAAGCATTTCTTGATTGTGATGAGTTTGTTATATATAATTAAGGATTTTCTCTAGGCTACTGTACTAGGTAATTTAGAAGTAACTCAACAGAAAATCATCTAACCATTTTTTTTTAAAGTTGATTATCAGAATAAAAATACTAGATTGTTCCTTATGCCAGAAAAAACGTTTTCATCATATTAAGTTGAAATTATGCTTGCTGAAATGAAGAAAAATGCATGTACTAGTAATTATTTATCAAGGGACAGATTAATATTTAACATACTGTAAACTAGTTATTTAATAATTTATAAAATTTGTATAGGAAGCAGATGCAATATCTAAAGTGTCAAAGATGATCATCATATATATTGTGCAGGAGTTCCACTTAATTAGAGCACGTATATAATTCAAAAAACTATGACTTAGTTTTAGGTTTTTAGTAAGTAACTATAATAAAATCATTCAATAGAAAACCCTACTGTCAAAAAAAGGGCTATTTGATTAATTTTATACATTTGCTTGTAAGTATTGATCTTTTGGGTTCAAAATGTTATATATATATATATACATACATACATATATATATATATATGTTCCTCCATTGACTTCTCTGATCTGATGCCTGCCGAAACGGTTAGGCTGTGCACGAAGATTTTTAAGTTAGTGTACGTTGATGAGACAGAGAGAGAGTTCTCCCAGTACTATAACAAGGAAAAAGTTAATTAATTAATCTCCACACATGAATACAGTACTTTTATTTTCCCTGAATATGCATTAACTCACCGTTTCTTTGTCGTTGGAGAAACACCATCTTCTTCATAACAACTTCTGCGAAAGGTCAATTCCATTACTGATATTATACATGCTTGCAGCGCCCATAACTATGTATGTTTGATAGATATAATTCTTCCATGCAATATGCATAATGACCTGTCGTTACGTGTGTGTGTGTATATATATATATATACTGATTATATATATATATATATATATATGTATGTTTGTTTGTTTTTGTGTAAGTTTTACTGATAAGTAGTTCCTTATACGACAAATGTCTTGAGCCTTCAAGGGTCTTACTATTAGTGATGTTGAAGCATGCACATTATAATCAGTATTCAGTGCACTGCAATCGACGACCTTTCATGAAAACATGATACAAGTTTATGAAAAGAATTATCCATTTTCTGCTGCAATATATATCTAGAATCTGAAAGAAAGTTAATCTGGTTCCAAGTCAACAGCTTTCTTGTGCGTTTTCCCAAAATAAATTATAAAAAGAGAGGGGGAGAGGGATTTTTGTGTGTGTGTGTGTGTCTATATACATATATGTATGTATATGTGTGTGTATATATATATATATATATGCGCGAATAAAGCCGTACTGAAATCGTACTGTCATTGTTATTCTTTGATCGATCTCTGACTTGATCAGAGGAGAAGAAAACGCTAACTATTTCAATAATCTCACTCAGACATAGTTTGGATAATATTATGTGTGTGTGTATATATATATATATATATCCTCTCAAATTGGAAATGAACAATTAACAGGAGTAAGAGTACTAGTAAAACTAAAATATATATACATCTTTTTGTTCTACAAATATATATGATGTTGGTTAGATATTAATATATATATAGTACTCTGGGAATACATATATATCTTCTGGTCTTTGAGTGCCCTCTCAAATACTCATGTGCTTATGATCATCATCAGACAAACACTGTAACACATGCCCAAAGGGTTCCTTTAATCTTTGCTTTTCTTTTCTTTCTGGCTCTAATATTTCCTTTTGCAGTCTATAAACATAGCTAGAAATAAGTATATATTATATATTTGGGGTTAAAAAGAACTTTTTCATATTGTTAGTTAATTGGACATCGCCAAGAGATAGCACCGGTATTGATGTTTTCACTTTTTATATATATGATACAGGCACACACACAATGGTCTTTCAGAAAAAGGAAAAAAGAACTAAAAAAAAAAAAGTGTAAATACTAAAAATAGATGTTTCATTGCTCATACTACAGCGACATAATAACATTCCATCCCAAAAGACCGCCTCTAAGTGAAAAATATAGTTCGTTGAGGAAACGTTTGGTTCATAGATTAGAATCATGAGATTATAACCATTTTCAATTTACGTATATTTTTTATGAGAGAAAATACTGTAATGAACCATGAACCATGATTCGAATCGATGTACGAATTCTCTAACCAAACAACCTCGTAAAAATAGAAAAATGAATCAGATTTTATAATACATAAAATACATATGAAGTACTATTACCATACGTATATATAGTTAACATGAATTGTGTTTGTATATGTTATCTGGGCACCATTTTATTTGTACACCAATTACTATCCGATTAATTATGAGAATTATATATATAGTACATAGGGTAAATTTCTTTTTCTTTCTTTAAGTACGAATGATAATAATAAAAAAGAACATTAGGAACAGATCAAAAGTGATCATTTATTACATTCACAAGATGCCCGCGGTCGGAGCTTGAATACTTAGCTATAGCTAGAAGAGAGGCTACCCTATAAGTAGATAATTGAGAATAGAGATCAATAGGTTAGCTTTTACAGCCACCATTGATGATGACCAAAGAAGATGGTCACATGCCTGCGGTACAAATCTCGATCAGTCGATCTTATCTTTTCATGGTTATTTTCTTAATTTGTATGGTCCTTGTACAGTAAGGCCCTCTTATGCAGAAGTACACAAGTATATGATGTAAATTCGACGATTGAAAATTAGAGATCTATCGATAATTTATTTTTTCAAGTCATACCATAGAAATCTCTTAATTTGTATTGGAACAAATTATATTATAATACTAAAGGGTTACCATATAACTATTTGGATTTTGTGTCATAACAATACCGGCAAAATCCAAAGAGAATATGTGTAATGTACATCATCGTCTTTGGTCAGTATTCTAGGACATAATAATACTCACGTAAAAGTGAAAAAATGTAACATGAATTTATCGTGTATAATGTTTAGTTTTCCTAAGTCATTATTACTTTCTAACGTCATTATGTGATAATGTATATCACAATCCTCGTGTCCTCCTTTTTACATGTTAATGTATAGGATGGTCCTTCATCAAGGACCGTAAACAAACCGCAACACATATTACGAAAAATAAAGTAACAAAAGGCTATAAAATGCATCTAAGATAAATTAAGAGTCATTACTGAATTTCAAGTGGAGTATTGGGTAGATTTTGGAGTTTTTCAACTCGGGCTCTTTACAGCACTACCACAAAATTTAAACATCAATTGACATGTGACACGAAAAAAAAAAATTGCAAAAAATGCAGTGCCACGTCATCACAAAATATTAATTGTGCCAAACATATCCTTCAGATTCCAACTAGTATTCACTAGGATACCAACCGGTATCCGACAATGATACCGGCATCCGGCCAAAATACCAACCGGTATTTGACAGCGATATTGATTGGTCACTGGCGTTATCAGAGGTGGCGCTGTCGCCGGAGTACTTAGAGAGATGAAGGCCTCGTTCGTTTCGCTGATTCGAGTTTAGAATTCGAGTTGAGATGTGATTTTATGTGAGAGCTTTTTACTGTAGCAAAAAAGTTAGATGTGACTGTTTGTGAGAGCTTTTTACTGTAACAAAACTCGAATTCTAAACTCGAATTAGCGAAACGAACGAGGCTGAAGAGATTGTGGAGAAGGATCGAACGAGTGGTTTTGCTAGGTCACTAGAGAAGCACGACGGCAGAGAGAGAGAAAAAACTAAGTGAGAAAGGAAGACAGAAAATAAAACCCTACTATTTAGGGGTAATTTAGTCCTCACAATCTTATATTTTTAATTAGCGTGGTAGAAAATATGGTAGTTTTCTCCCTATTGGTAGATGTGATACACTCTTAAATTCTGTGACAAATTCCCTAAGGCTCCGTTCATTTCACCGATGTGAGTTCAGAATTTGAGTTTTACTACAGTAAAAAGCTATAAAAAACAGTAACATCTAACTTTTTTACTACAGTGAAAAGCTCTTACATAAAGTCACATCTAAACTCGAATTAAAAATTCGAATCAGCTAACTAAACGGGCCCTAAATGTTTCTTTCAACTCAAACTCCTCCACTCGACCCACCTAAATGAAATCGGGTTGGGTGGGTTATACATATTAAATATTATTAAAAAAACCTAACAATTCAACTTAAAACAAGAATGTTTTTGATGTACTCTTTGTATAAAGCTCCAATGGTCTTATATGTCATAAACTGAGATAAAAAAAAGAAAAGGTCAACAATACAAGTTCAAATAAATAAGTTATATAAATTAAACTAATTAAAATAGAAATTCTCTCCTCAATGCTAAGAAAAATACTCCCAATTCTTTTTTTTTAGAAAAAAAAAAAGAATCTCTTGATCCTAGCCCACTTTTTCTCTCCTCTCCCCCTAATTCTCTCAAACCACTATTCCTCTTTTTCTCTCATCTCTCTCGCTCAATTTCTTTCTTTCTCTCAACTTCTCTCTTTTTATCACTTCTACTTCTACTTCTTTAATTTTTCTTCTTCTTTTTCTTCTTCTTCAATTTTTTGTTACCATATCTGTAACGCCCACTAGCGGGACGTCACACCCTCCCTCCCACTCAATTGATTTGTATCCACTTTTATATGTTTTCTAATGCAAATAGTAGTAACTTTGCCACAACGAGTTTATTTGCAGAATAGTCTTCAAAACTCAGCAAAGAAAGAGAAGAAACACAGGATAAATTAATGCACAAGCCAAAGAGAAGAATTGAGTTTCGGAGTTTTGATGGGTTTGAAAATGCATCTGAGTTTTGTGTTTAGCTTTGAAATTGATTGTGATAAATGGTTTTTTTTTTTTTTTTTTTTTTTTTTTCAGGGATATCGTTAATAATTTTATTTTACAAGAAACTTATTTGGATGCAAGGGTATAATTGTAATAAACAATATTTTTTTAATTAAAGGGGCCTTAACGAAAAATTGGGTGTGAATAAAATTTCCCGTGCGGGAAAAGGCACTAGTATGAGTCAAACTGAACTTAAATTTTGGGAAATAGTAGAAAATAAGTCAATATAAAAAGTTTAAGAAAGTATATAGGTCAATTTTTAGTTATAGAAATTAATAGGTCATAACTTGTCAAGTTATGGTTCATAACTAGATAAGTTATGAATAAACTTGTCAAGTTATGGTTCATAGCCAGATAAGTTATGGACAAAAATCGTAAATTATGGATAATAACTTGTCAAGTTATAGTTCATAACTAGACAAGTTATGGACGAAATTAGTAATTTGGCCTATTTATTAATTTATGTAAACTATTGGCCTATTAATTTTAATTTATCTCAAGTCTTGACCTATTTCTCTCTTTCTCCTTTAAATTTTTATGGGTCGTGATTTAATGGGTCATGAGAGCATTTACCAAATGGCTCTTTACACGTATAGCAAAATTTCAATGAAAGAGTTTAAATATAATAAATTTTTTTTAAATATTATAAGAATGGAAAATATTGATATCCTTATATAATATAAAATGAGAAATCATTATGATAATGACGGTTAATATTTACTATATTTATAATATTCTAAAAATTTTGTTAAATTTCAACTCAAGAAATGAAATTTTTTCACGTAGTGTAATTATGTCTTAAAGAAATTTGGTTGTTTTCAATTCAAATGGTTCTTGAGCCATTTGTGGGTTTTGAATTAATTGGGCCAAAATGAGTTGGATAGCTTATAGTGGAGTAGTGTGTCCTAAGCAGTCGCCACCAAGAGTTGGTCCAATACCCTAACAAACAGAAAAGTCTCTTCGAACACAATTAAATTATGAGTTAAATTCATGTGAAATCCTTCATTTTTTTTTTTTTTTTGAATTAGTTCCTCAAGTGACAGTTGTTCTAGCTTAAATCTTAAACTCTTTAAGTGTCTTAAATTTAATTCTTAAGTTAAAATTTCGTTAAAGTTAGATGAAAACATTAACTTAATGGCATTTAAGTATAAATTTGTCCCATTTCACCATTAAAAATAATATAATATGAAGAAAGTACATAAAATTAAGAGAAATCAGGGAAAAAAAAAAGAAATCAACTCTTTTTGGGGGCGCTTATTGGTGGTTTAAGTTATATTTATTTAACATTTTTGAGCAAGAAGATTAACAAGTTCTTCTCATAACAATAATAAAGTGCTGAAATAAACTATTCAAAATTAGAATTTTTTAAAAAACTGAAAAGTCTCGACAATAGACAGACGAGTGAGGACAACTTAATTAGTTACGAGTCTTTTTACCTCAATTATAAATTGAGAGTTCGAATCACTCTTAATCCTAAAGTAGTGATATTTTCCCTCCCCTTATATTATAAAAAAGTCTCAACAATCTGATAATAATCATATCATATATACATCCAAAAAATAAACAAAAAAACTCCTCAATCTTAAACTGTTAAGCGCTAAAAAAAAAGTCACCAACAACAATAAAGTATAGGAAAATATATAAAAGAAAATAAACATAAATAATTAAAAAACCTCTAACGTTGAGTTTTTGTGAATTGTCTAAAAAGATAATAAACAAAGCATATTTAGTAAAAACACATAAATAGAAAAAAAAAATACATATTATGAAATTATGAGATTGCCATATTTTTCCATCTAAATTTTAATAGAATTTTAATTCAAAGATTAAATTTGAGACACTTAAAGAATTTAGGGCCCATTTAATTTGTTAATTCGAGTTAAAATGTGACTTTATGTGAAAATTTTTTACTGTAAAAAAAATTAAATGTGATTATTTTTTAATTTTTTTACTATAATCGGTAAAATAAACGGGGTTTAGAAAAAATAAATTTCACTACATAAACTAATTTTAAAAAGAGAAAAAAAATCGAGGACTTTTTGAATAATCTATAAAATTGTTTTTCCCGTGTAAAGAATGGGTAAAACAGGCGGGCAAATCTCTATTTGATCCCCTAGTTTCCTGATCCCATACAAGTACGAACATGTCAGCCAGTTTAGTTTTAACTGTTTGACCAAACGGATTTCTAATCCTTCCTGTTTTCCTCCGGCTTTTCCACTCCATAATCCCTCCGATCTTCCCCCGCGCCAAACAGAAACATAACCCGCCGTGACGGAGATTGATTCAGAATCTCCGATCACGTCGTCGAAACCAGCCATAGACCTTATCAGAAAACGTAAAAAACGTCAAAAAATCGGCGCCTTCGAATTCGACGGCGACACAAGTGGAATCGAAGAAGATGAAGTACAGATGTGTTGAGTGCGGGTATGGCACGAATTCGCTCTTCGTTCAATACTCTCCGGGCAATATCCGACTCATGAAGTGCGTAAGTGCAAAAATCAATCAAAATTCCTTCTTTCAATCTCCTTTTGTTTCAATTTCTCAAAATTTTCAAATTTTTTTTTTTTTCAGGAGAATTGTAAAGCGGTTGCCGATGAGTATATCGAATGCGAAATTATGGTATTATTATTATTTTTTTCAACATTGCTCCTTTTTTTTTTTTTTTTTAATTTGATACTGAAGCTTGTAGCTTTTTTTTTTTGTTTTTGTTTTTGTGTGGAACTGTGAGCAGATTATTGTTATTGATTTGATTGTGAACAAGCCAAAAGCATATAGACATTTACTTTATAACGTGCTAGGTTCACAGACTCTCAATTTTAAGGTACTGTTTTTGCCTTCCTTCGTTTCATTAGCTTGGTCCTCTGGCCTTGTCTGACTTCTTTTTTTTTTTTTTGGTGGTGGTTTCGCAGGGTTTACTCTGGAAATTGAGTTTTGGGTTCCTTCTTTTGGATGCTTGTATCCTTTCCACTTCTCTGTCCATTAAAATATAATCTTTTTGTGTATTATATATGTATGTATGTATATTTGTGTGTGTGTGTGTGTATTTTTGGGAAAATTGTGGTAAGAAAAAAAATTTATTGGTAGGGTAGAGTTGACTTGTCATACGTTTTCTAGACTGATATGATTCTGATATAATCTGACGGTTTTGAGCTGTGTCCTATTACCCCTACAACAGAATTCTCCACAAAGTGTAGGCACATAGTTAAGTACCTTAACAAGTTCAAAGATAGGAGTTTATTGATATGTAGAAGCAAAGAAGAATGGAGTTCCACCAGCATTGCTTCTTTCATTTGGACATGTCAAAAGGTTGCCATGTTTATTTGAATAACATGTCAATCGGGTTTTCATCTCTTTGTACAAGGACGGAGAAATTCGGTTTTTTGTTTTATTTATTTATTTATTTGAATTGTTAGGTCTTGATGGACGTAGTTATTGGGAACTTGATGTTTTTTGCTACTTTTCTACTTGCCATGAGAATTTTTTTGAGTACTTCCATCGGATCCCTCAGGTAAGCATTTGGGGGTAGGTTTTATACTTCTTTCTAGTGGAGGTGTTTTCGGTGGGAATTATAATTATGAACATGGGCACAATTCTATGTGAAATATAAAAGTGAAAAAAAAAAAGATATAGTAGTAAAATGCTTCTTTCTGATAATCACATACTCATTGCAGGTACAAAGACATTTTTCTTGCAATCCTTGTTTCAAGCTACTTCAAGATGTGTCTTTTTGCTATGATGGTATGTATGGTTTTAGTTGTTTTCTTTATCTCATTGTTCTAGTGATTCTTTTCAATAATTGGACATTAAATTCTAAGCTTGGCTTTTACAGGTCTGGGAATTTCCATCGTCTGTGGTTTTCATCATTGATTTATATGTTTTGTCGTCCAACATTGTGGCTCTCAAAGGTGAGATGATAACAACCCGTTTTGGTACTTTTTTCATTTTGGAGGGATTTCCACAGTTTGAGTCATTTTAATTTCTTGTTTATTTGTCATGCCTTTGACTGAGTTGTTTTGTTTTTCAATGAACCAGTGATCACTGAGTCAGCTATGAGTAGATGTGTATTGACCTGCTTCAGTGCACATTTGATGAAGTTTTTGGTCACACAGGCGCTGGAATTAAGAACGTTATAGTACCAATTTCTCATTTATCAATAGTTCTCTGCAATTAAAATGCAGTACGGTTTATTTTTTATTTTCTATTTGAGGCTGCAGTAGTGAGAGTAAATGGGTATAAAATGCTTGATGTGCGAAGCGATCACATTATTTATATCTTCTTTGTTCTTCAGAGGGCATTTTTGCTTGTGTAATGAAATATAATCATAGCATAATATTCTCGACTTATTGAAGGATGTATTTAACCTCCCAGTTTGTCCTAGCAGACCATTTTTTTTTCCCAATTGCTCTAACTACATTCTATAAGTAGACATTTTGTGTAATTGTTTCTATTTAACTGGAGTTAATAATGTACATCAGTTTGACATAAATTAACTTATCATCCATATTCGATAAGATGTTCAGCTGCTTCATATTCCTCTACAAAATGAAGTTTCTTCCTCTCAAAAAGTCCTTTACATTTTTTATAAACCTTCAGTCAAAGCACAAATCGTTCCTCTCTTCTATTTGCAAATTAGAACCTTGTATTATTTATTATACAGCCAAAACAAATAAAGAGTTATTTATTAAATAAGATCTGTATGTATAAAAAATGTCGAATAACAACAACACCAAGGGTTGGTGGCGCAGTTGGCTAGCGCGTAGGTCTTCATAGCTTTTCAAGTGAGTTAAGCTTTCTAGTACGCCTCGCATACTGGTAGGTAAAGTTTTATGTTTATTAAATCTATATAAAATTACGTAAAAATTAAAAAGTACGTAAATTATGCAGATCCGACAGACAGAAAACTTAACCTACCGACATGTTAGCATACCGGAGAAGATTCCTAAACATGGCATTTTTTTTAACACATGGCATTCTAAAGTAAACAAGGACAAACTCTACTACTAAAACAAAGCAACTAACAAAAGTATTTGCTTGTAAGTGTAATGACCTGCATGCATATAAAAGTCAACATTAAAACAAAAATCAACCGAAAACAACATATATCAAAACTCCACATTTGAACCGCAACTATATCAAGTCATGAAAATGGAAGGGCGCCTATTTACACAAGCCATGGCGACTTCCAACACCGCATAATACATCCTTTTTGGATTCAAAGATTCAAAGTTCAACCTTATATATACCCAACAAGAACATAACTACGTTGTACTGTTGAAAAATACTTGGAGGGACACTACCAGTATTGAGCATTACAACTAATAAAAGATAGTTTTCTTTTATGAACACTCTTCTGAGCCACTCTCCATTAGTGCGTGGCGTTGGGTATTACAGTACCCTTATATTATTACAAACCGTAGGAAAATGACTCTTTTGCTGCCGAGTCCTATCACCAGCTTCCATATATCACCAATTCTCGAACAAAAGCAACAAACAAAATCGTCCCCGCAACTGCGTTGAAGCAGTATTCCGATGGCGACTTCGAACTACACCTCGAAAGAGAGGATGTTTCCTCAAAAGTGAAGAAACTCTTCCATTTGCTCACAGGTGATGATTCGCAGCTTGCTGACTTCAAATGCTTCTCCACCACTTTGCTGCTTTGGACGACCATTTTTCCAGCATTTTGAGACTCTTTGCTAGGCTTTTCCATTAGGGGCATTTCAACAGCAGTGCTATTATGTTTTGCAGCTTCTCTGACCTGATTTTATAGAAATAACATAGACTTGAACATTACCAAGCTAGAGTAGAATCCTTACATTTATCAACTTTCGCTTCAATATAAACACATTCCTACTTTTTCTCCTCAGTGAATTTTTAGTTCTGTATCTTGATTTTCTTACCTTGGTGCCTCGCATTGCGGGTGGTGAAACTTTCTTCTGTGCTTGGATCCTTCTCTGATGACCTTCTCGACTAACAACAACAGATTTCGGACGCTCCTTTTCGACTAAACTCATACAATTGATCTCCCCTATAAGTTCAATTAAGTCATCTGAGGAAGTATCCTCTTCAGAGAACCGGCTATGAAGTGGATCAATTGTTTCTACTCTGGCATGTTCACCCACTGAAGTTCGTAGAGTTTCACCAGGTGTTTTCACCATCCTCATCTGTCGGACCCTCTTTGAGCCATCAGGTGAACCAAACATGCTTGAACTGATATTCTGTGATACAAGTAATAGGCAAAAACTATAAGCTACCGTACGTTTTTCCAATAAAAAAAGACCACAAACCTAACAGTTTCCAAGTCTTAACAGAACTGCAGAAGCTTCTTTACAAGTGCTGTTAGAGCTTTTATTTGGGATTGTTTGATTATGTGGATAGCATCTAAATGTAGGTGTAGGTGTTCTCTGATGCAGCGGATTGGAGAAGATAGAATTTTGTTGGCCTAACCTAGACGGAGGACGGGACTTAGATTTTCTAAATCCACCTAAAGAAAACCCACAAGGGGAAAAACCGAGAGAACACACCCAAACTCTGCATTCAATATGTTAATTATTCAAGTCTTCATATTACAATAGGTAATGTGGCTATTTATAGCTCACACACAAATCGATAACAAAATAACCACTTAGACAAATGGCACACTAATACCAAAACAAAGCTAAATTAATAAGCTAGAACAAACGACAATAAAAATATAAAAACGACTACTTATAGCCAAATCCCCTTACATCATTCTCTCTCACGTGTCTTTGAATAATAATGTTTTTTCTACTAATTATTGGGGCTGATCAAGGAAATTGAGCAGAAAAACGAAGGGAGATAGAATCTATAGACAATTCCAGCATAATCCTTGTAACAGTATGAGTGAGAGTCAAATTGTTACAAGACTCCTTCTGATATGTGAACCACTATGGGAGCATATCAGAAGGAGACTTGAAAGAATGCGTCTCTCATTCACATTATGACAAGGATTATGATGACCTTATCTATAGGTTCTATCTTTTTACCCGTCTATGGACTCTATCCGTGTCTGTGTCACTGCTAACTGGATCATCCTCAAAATACGCCCTTTTCAATGATGTTTGCAGGGAGAAAATGTTAACAACATTGTTTGCTGTTTCCCCATTTTCATCCGGGTCAACAATAAGCGAATCCGCAAACTCATCAAGACACTCTTCGGATTCATCAGCTCCATACGATAAAGAGCCATTTGGAAATTGCAAACTCATTTCCGGCCAGTTGTCAACCAGTGTTTGTTCTGGATAACCATGTACCTAAAATAGAAAAACATAAACAAGAGTAAGTTTAGATTCGAATAACTTCTTATGGATCCATAGGAAAAGTTCGATATTGAAAGTCTAAAAAAGACCATGCTTATTCTTAATTTACCCCTGGAATTTCAAGTTGTGCTGTTAGATTTTCAAAATCAGAAGTGAAGTCTCTACTTGGCTGGCCTTCATTGCCGTTGGGAGTCTTAACCGTGCTATTTGATTTTTTCTTTAACCGGCAAACAACATAGGCCCTCTGCAGAATTTAAATAACAAAAGTAGAATGTTGGCAACGCCAATCATAAAAAGTGGTGACAATAGTTAATAGTCAATCACCTGATAGAAAAATCAGATCCTATACATCAGAAACAGAATCACTTGTGTGTTTTAACTAAATCTATGTATTATGAATCGATTTTTGGATATTGCAAACAAGGAAAAAGAAATAATAAATTGTATCATAAAGAAGGGCTATTATCAAAAAACTATGAATAACATTTGAGTTTATGGATGCGGCAGACATGGGACTACACCCACCCGTTAGGATATAATATTATTGTTTGCCCAGCTCCAAACACCTTAAAAGTTTTGGAGAATTAATAAATTAACATAGTTCAGAGCATGTGATCCTGTGTTTGCATTCCAACACCCACTTGGTCTAAATGCATGACAAATCCAAAAGTAACTCTACATCCCTTTTGGTTGCCAAAAAATGAAAGCAAATTGATCAAAGTCAAAATTTTATCAATGTGTTGTCTCTTCAAGCAATATGACATATCAATTCAAGTCACTAGACAACAACAGATGACTCGTCCATCATTAACTTAAATCTAAATAACAGAGCTCATGAATTGCATCAACTCTGACAAAAATCAAACAAAGACATAGGATTGAGACAACAAACATAGTATAGAACTGTTTCATAAGTAATAATAATCAAAAGAAAGAAGCTAAACCTGGTGAGGAAGGAGGGCATTATCAGTTTCAACATAGTACTCATGAATGACCCAGTTGGTCTTTTCGCCAGGATGACGACCATTATGGAACACCAAAGTCTTCTTCTTTGCAATGCAAGTTTTGCCGTCTTTACCCTTGATGTCCTTGTCCTGGCCGGTGCTCTTCCAGTAGCCGGTTCCCGTCGTCCTCTTGGGCCGTGGACCGCGGCGACAGAAGAACCACCACAGTGTATCATCCGACTGGACCCTCGATTGAGCTAGATTTAGAAACCAATCCCACAAAACCGATAACACAAGAAATGAATATTAAAAGAGGAAAAACACACACAAGGAGAAAAACAAGAAGAAAGATAATTATTAAGTCTTAGACGTACAAGGCAAATCCCAAGGCTCCCACTTGCACAAATCGACCTCGGCAATTATGTGATCGACTTGGGCATCTTTTCCCGTAGTCTTAAGCTTCCAAAAGTAATTTATGAGCTCTTCATCTGTGGGGTGGAATCTGAACCCAACAGGCAGCTTTGATGGCAGTGGTAAAATATTACTCATCTTTTTCTTCTCTTCCACCAACCTTTTTTTTTTAATTTTTTTTTGTCTTTTAGAGATTTATGACAAGAAAAGGAATATGGAGAACTGAAAATGTCATCTGGCTACTAATGATTTCATGATGTTAGAGCAGAAACAGAGTAAAAGCTAAAGAGATATTTATTTCTTAATGTCATTTTTGGTTGTCGAATTGGGTGTCTCTTTTGTGTTTCAGCGTCTGGTATTTGTTATTCTTTTTTCAGCAGAAGCGAGCAGTCATGAGCGAGTGTGAGTGTGGAGAAATTCTTTTTTTTTTTTTTAAAATAAAGTTAAAAAAAAAAGGAAAGGGGAAACAGAAAAAGTGTGGGAAAATTTTTTTTTTTTTTTTTTTTTTTTTTTTTGAGATTATTAATGAGGTTTCTTTCCTCGTTCCTTCTTGAAAGGTTTCGTACTGTTGACTTGAGTTTGATCACGACAGGAAGTCTTTGGCTTAGCTCAGAAGTAGTCTTCTGTTCACACTGGTTCGGACACGTGGCACGGAAACCTGATGCCACGTAGGATTAGTGGAGCCGATCAGTTTCAGCCGTAGACCTTTTTTTAAAAAAAATAAAAAATAGTGACCGGACTAAAACGCGTGATGAAATGATTACTGTGTAAGCTCTCGAAGGTTTTAATTTCGTTGATTTAAACTTTTTTATTTGAATAAAAAAATTTAAATTGTATAATTTAAATTGTAATTTGAATTAATATTAAAATGTGCAGTTTAAATTTTAATTTGAATTAAAAATAAAATTTAAAGTTGTGTTTAGTTTGTATAAAAAAACAAAAAAAATACACATTTTTACTGTCTAAAAATTATTTAAACAATTGAATTAGGGAAGTTATAATTTAAATAATTTAATTCAGTTCAAATAAAAAATATAATTTAAACTTCGTGCTTTCTAAACTCAAATTTAAACTGTTTTTACTGTTTAAAACTGAGTTAAATTGAGATAAACCAATGAAACAAGGCCTAATTTGTAGTTTCTAAAGTTACTGTGGATGCATTTGGTTCGTTGGTTACGTTTGCTTTTAAGAAGATTTTTCTCATCAAGACACCAATTAGAGAAGGGGAAGTTGAATAAAATAGTTTTGAATCATTATTAACTCGAAGTTTGATAAAATTTGATTAAAACCAAAATAGGATTTTTTTTTTTTTTTTAAACTTATCCTGCAAAAGAAAAAAAAAATCTCCATATACCCATCAGCAGTTTTTTGGCGAATCGAGGCATCAAAATGGTTAAATATAGAGAATAATATTCATATAACTCATCTTGTTTGCAACATTTAGGCCTAGTTCGGTTCGTGAATTTGAGTTTTCAATTTAAACTGAAATGTGACATATTTTAAAAAATTTTAACTGTAGTAAAAAAAATTAAATGTGATATTTTCTGAGAATTTTTTACTGTAAAAACTTAAAATTAAAAATTCGAAACGGTAAAATGAACAAGGCCTTAAATTTAGTTATAACATCCCTTCCACTCAAATTATATTCGCTACAGATTGTTGAATTGAGCAGCACATATTCCATCTTCCAAATGAGAATAATTCTTCAAAACTATATGGAAGAAGTAACTTTGCAGAAAATTATCTATTGTTTTCTGCATGTACATGAACATGAACATGTGCATAAACAGATGAAAGTCGGACAGTCTCCCTAACACCACAAAAGTTACCATCGGATAAGGGTCCACTAAAATTCAAAGGGTCATTTTGTTCGTCCCCAAAAAATCAGGTATTTATAAATAATGCTGCTCTGATATTTTGTGATTCTCATATTCAGTACCACACATTCTTCATTAGAGAAATGATCCTATATGAAACAAAAAATCCATTCACCAAAAAAAAAAAAAAAAAAACAAATAATCCAAATAATCCGCAATGCGACAATATACCAAAAAAGAAATTTTTAAAAAGCTAATATTTTAACAAGATTCTCTTGAGGATAATTAATTTGATACTTAACGTGCCAAAGTAATTTGATACAAACAATAAGCATTCAAAGCCTCTCACTTCCATGAACAAAGATGGTTGAGACTGCAACTAAATCCTGCTGTACGCATAAACAGGATTGCAACAGGACTCGCCATTGTCATGATAATAAAACAGTGATTATATGTACATATAAGTAAAGCAATTCTATCACAGCACACATGCTTTGGGATTTTAAAGCTAATTGTATTGTTATGAGAAATACCAGGGGTATTCCTATACACTATGAAAGACAAACATAACATAACAGACAAAAGAACTCCATGTTTCTGCCGAGTTCTAGCACCAGGCTCCACATGACAAACTACAGTTCCCAAGCGAAAACAGCGAACAGGTCGTCGTGCCGACAAGGTGTTTCCAGTTTCCTCCGCATTTGCTGTTAAGTTGACAGAGGAAGCATCCTTTTCGGGAACCGATCGCTAAGGGCAAGAATTGTGGCCTGTATGGAGTCAGTGGTATAAGCTCGCAGAGTTTCACCAGGTATTTCGACTGTCGCATCAAGTTGGGATTTTCTTTGAACCAACAGATAAACCTCCGGAGACTGGATATGCTGTAATACAAAACAAGAAAGTGTAAGCTCCCTAATGTTTTCTTTCTTTTTTTTTTTTTTCCAGAAAAAACAGATCAAAATATAAAGAAATAAATGATTGACGTACGTACGAAAACTTTTCTTCATTCCTTTCATCAGAAGTTCATTCATCTGTCAGTCTATATGAAAGTACCCCTAATTGATGCGAGTCTCTTCCAGATGTCTGAGAACAGCCGCTGCTTAACATAATCTGAGCTCTTCTTCGCCTTTGGTTCCTCGGGCAAAGAAAACCCGATGACGCCATGATCCTCCTAGGAAGTACCTAAGTTCTTCAAAGCCACACGGGTCAACGCCTCCTTTATTTACAAAACGTACCTGTTATTTACAAAACGTTCTTTCTTCTTCAGGCAATTCTCGGTTGCTACTATACTCGAGAATTTATTAACGCTACTAACGCTTAAACACTCCAAGCATCATTTCGTTGAACAACTGCTATTATTGCAGTATGGGGCAATATGGACAATGTGGAAAGGCGGTTGGTGTAGAAAAAGGTAGACACGAAGTTGGCTATTACCCAGTACGAGCTCATGATATATGAGCATTTCGAGCGGCAAGAAAATTTTGCTGCTAAAACGCATTATCAAAGCCATCATTTTAGCATCCTCGTTTGCCATCTTGGATTAAGATAAAAAAGGATAGCTATTAGAGAGAACTGCACAAGCTTCATCACAAAGCTTACAGTGCTTTACTGGGTGTTAAGACGACTCTCAACTCTTGATACTCAGCTTCAAGGGGTGATTTCGCATCCCATGTTGCAAGATTAAGAAAGGTTGGAAATAGATTTGGTTTTGCCATTTCTTTTCTTAAGAAGGGACTTTTTCTTAAGAAGGGACATCTGGGGGTGCCTTTGGTCCATCCATGAGCAATGATTGTCTTGCTACATTGGATAGCCCATAGGCCTAATTGGATGGAATTTCTTGTGGTTATGACAGGGTAGAAAGCTTTCTGGACAGAATCTCGAAGGAATTCTTGGTAGAAGGATGATTTTGCTAGTGCTGGCTATACATAGTATAGATTCAAACAGTAATGGTTCATTCGATTGTTGGTTTTTGTGGACAAGGATGGTTTTTCTTTGAGGGGTAGGACTTGGTATGTTCTGGCTGGCAAGGAAATAGTAAACTTTCCGATTTCATATGGAAGCTGATATAGGAAGGTTTATTAAAAAAAGGAAAAAAAAAACCTACAGGAGAATATCACAACCCTCATAATAATGTGACGGCACATTATTAGAAACCTCCTACGATATTCTCCTGCATTGGCTCATTAGCTATTGGAGTCATTCTCCAAGGGCTAATGAACGGGGTCTTTTAACCCATCCATCGACTCCTTCAGCATTAGTGTCATTACTAGCTGGAATGTCGGGGAAATAAGGCCTTTTCAATGACTTTGGCTGGATGAAGTCATTGGAAAGATTGTTTGCTGTCTCCCCATTGTAGTTTTCATACAGATCAGCTTTACGCCCATCCGGAAACTCTGCGGGACACATTATTGGTTCAGCAGATCCACATAAAGCATGCGAATTGTTATGGTCATCACAGAGGCTATATGAGCGGATCAAACTAATAGCCTCCTCTGTGTAGTAGTAATCTGGTGAGGAAAACGTTTGCCAGCACGATTCTGCATTCACTTCTGTGTGACCGTCTCCCTGGAATTGAGAAACATAAACAAGTAGATATTTAGGTTTCCATAAACTTGTCATGAGTTGTAGGAATAACTTGATCGTGAAAATATAGAAAAGATGATGCTCATTCGTACCACCGGAATTGCAGTATGTGCTACTTGATTTTCGATATCAGATGTGATGTCGCTGCTTGGTCTGCCTATGTTGCAGTCCAGAGAACCAACATACTCATCCGTTTTGTTCTCCAAGCAGCATGTAAGATAGGGCCACTGCATAATTTGAACAAATAGAAAATGTAATTTCATGTACAGAATGTTGCTATATCGATCTTACATCCAAGCAATATCTAATTGTCACTAAGCTGATTAAAAGGGGGGAAAAAAAGAGCTTATACAGTTCAATATTTCTGTCCTCATCACAGAAATAAAAGACGGCGTCCATTACTTTTAGGGGTGAAAAACGAATCAGGGTTCACACCAAACACAATAAGCAAGGTTCATGGGTCTCAGATTCCCATTAATATAAAGCCCACCCTTTTGGATGATTTTCAAATTACCTCAAAACAAGGAAAAGTAGATTCCATGGGTTTCATTTCCCCAAGTTTAAATAAAATGTCAGAAGTTATACCAAACATGGGAACCTGAAAAGATTCCCATCCCCATTCTTAAATCACCATACACCAAACGCTCCCCTATGAAAGAGATCGTCTCCCTCTCCATTTTCATGCCTAAATTATGTACCCATCCCTCTTAGCTAATACTTAAAAAGGCCTTAAGTCTTCGTGGTTATTGATTGCCAAATCATGATATGATGGACTGCATATTTAGGGAAATAAATAAATAAATAATAGTACTAATATAAAGCTCACGTTTGCGCTAACAATTGTTCTGACAACAATCTGCTACTAAAATGAACACAGAACTGCAAATCCATGTATGGCACCAGTTATGTGTTGGTACAGTGAGGAAAAAGAAACACATGCATAACAGAAAATGTACCAATTCAAAATTCAAATGAAGTATCATAAAAGTGTAAAAGCAAGGAAATGGACTAAAACCAAACTACTATAATCAGCAAAAGGAGTGTGAGTCAAGGACTATAAACCTGCTGAGGAAGGCTGTTCTCTAGTTCTGGACGGTGCTCATGCATGACCCAGTTGCTCTTTTGACCATCATTGAAGCTGTCCGACAAGCTCGGCGTTAAATCCTCCATTGTCAGGCAGTCATCTAGTGAGAGAACTGGTTGCGAGAGCAATTTTGCATTCCTTTCTCCATGACCAGATACCTGGAATTGCGTAACATAAGCAAGTAGACGTCAGTATAATTTGCAGGAATAACTTGATACTGAAAATGTAGAAAAGATGATATGCTCATTCTTACTTCTGAAATTGCAGGATGTGCTACTGAATTTTCGGTTTCAGCTCTGATGTCGCTGCTTGGTTTGCCTATGTTGCAGCCTAGGGTACCAGCATTCTCATCAGTTTTGCTCTCTAAGCAGTGAGTAATATCGGGCCTCTGCATAGTTTGAACAAATAAAAGGTATAATTTCATGTATAGAATGTTGCAATATCAATCTTACATCTAGCAATATCTAACTGTATCAGTAAGCTGATAAAAGCAGAGGGAAAAAAACACCTAACATAATTTTATTTTTCTGTCCTCATTTCAGAAATAAAAGACCGTGACCATTTTCTTTTAGGGGCGAAAAATGAATCGGAATTCTTGTGTGTACTTTCTGATCTTGGAAAGAGAAGAAAGGTTGGAATTGTATAAATTATATTGTAAATTTGTAAATAACTATCACAACGAAAATTATGAATAACTTTGCACTCTATGGATAATTTGTAAAAAACTATTACAACTAAAATTATGAATAACTTTGCACTTTATGGATCTCCTACTTTAATTTAAGGCCTTGTTTAGGAGACGAGTTGAAGGAGGGATAAGCGTGGAAGGATTTTAAAACTTCTCATTATTTGGTAGAGTTATTATAGGAGGGAATGAATTTAGTATGGACGATTTTTCTCTCCACGTTTTTTCTCCCTCTTCCTCAACAAGGCCTTAAGTCATTCCATAGCTATTGATTACAAAAGCGTAATACGCATATCCAGGGAAATAAATAAATAACATTTGCGTTTGAACTAACAACTGCTCTTACAATAATCTTAAGCTACTAAAATGAACATGGAACCGCAAAATCAATGGAGGGCACTAGTTATAAGTGATGTGATGGAGAGATGAAAAAACAAAAACAACAACCACATATGCACCATAGAAAATGTACCTAAAAAGCGCAAAAGGAAGGCAACAGACTAAAAACCAACCACCCTATAATCAGCAATCGCAATACCAGTTAAGAAGTAGCTATAAACCTGATGAAGCAGGGAATTCTCCGTTTCAGGATGGTGCTCAGGCATGAGCTGGGTATGATCGTTATCTAAGCACGCATTGAGGAAATTTATTTCCTCGTCAGTGAGGAAGCAGTCATCTGATGAGAGAACTTGTTGCGGGAGCGATTCCGCATTCCCTTCTGCTTGACCATGTACCTGGAATTGCATAACATAATAATCAAGTCATCATTTGTATAATTTGCATAACCTTCTCATGATTTACAGGAATAACGTGATATTGAAAATGTAGAAAAGATCATACACTCATTCTTACTTCTGAAATTGCAACAGATGCTACTGAATTTTCGACGTCAGATGCGATGTCGTGATATTGAAAATGTTGCGGGAGCAATTCCGCATTCCCTTCTGCTTGACCATGTACCTGGAATTGCATAACATAATAATCAAGTCATCATTTGTATAATTTGCATAAACTTCTCATGATTTACAGGAATAACGTGATATTGAAAATGTAGAAAAGATCATACACTCATTCTTACTTCTGAAATTGCAGCAGATGCTACTGAATTTTCGACGTCAGATGTGATGTCGCAGCTTGGTTCACTGTCGTCACAGCCTGGCGGACCAGCTTTCTCAACAGCTTTGTTCTCCAAGCGGCAGATAACATAGTAACTCTACATAATTTGAACAAACACAACGTATAATTTCAAGTGCAGGAGGATGTTGCAGTGTCAATCTTACAATTGCTAGCAATAGCTAACTCTGTCGATCAGCTGAAAGAAAAAGGGGAAACAAAAAACAAAAACAAAAACAAAAACAAAGCTTTACATTATCTATGAATGATTATTGTGCATATGCTTTTCATCTTGGAAAGGGAAGAAAAAGCTCGACTTGTCATAAATTATATTGCAAATTTTGTCATGAACGACTACCGCTAGGATTTCAATAACATTGCAGTTTATGGAGTTAGCGGCTCTAGGAGTTGCAACTTAGGTTATGTGCGTGTCGACCCAAATTTTCGTGGCAATCGAGTTAACCTGCGTGTCACCCATAGTAAAAACGTCACTCAAATCCGTATTTCCACAACTGGTATAATTTTTTTTTTTTTTTTTTAGGTAACTTATATAAACAATTTGAGTGTTTACTTCATCAATTTTCTTTACTTTACTTCGTGAATTTAGGCCATAAATCTTATATTTTTTATTTTATTTAAATTAAATCTCTAAAAAAATCATCTTTTTCTTAAAAAAATCTATACTTGACTATATTTTTTAATAAAAAATTTAATAAATCAAATTAATTCAAGTCAATTTCTGTCAATGGTATCATCAATTTGAGGCATATTCTTCCTCATCAAAAATTATTTTGAGGCAAGTTGGAGTAGTGTTACGATCCATGGACTGCATATCTAGGGGAAAAAAAAACTCATGAGTTGCAGGGTTGCACTAAAATTAAAAATGAATTGCTAAATCCATGTACAACAGTATATATAAGCGATGTGGTGGTTTTTTTTATAAAAAAAAAAAAAAATTGAATAATAGTAGAAAATGTACAAATTCAAAGATTTAAAAAAAAAAAAAGAAAAAAGCTAAGCAACATATGATAAGAAATAACAAGAGAAATTAAGGAAAGACAATAAACCTGGTTAGGAAGGACATTCTCAGGAAGGGGATGGTACTCGTGAATGACCCAGTCGGTCCCACGGCCAGGAGTGGGACCTGTGAGGAACACCACGATCTTCTTCTTTCCAATAACTCTGCCGTCTCGACCCTTGATTTCTTGTTCTTTGCCCGTGATTTTCCAGAATCCTGTTTTCGTCTTCCTTTTGGTCCTTTTGTTTTTCGGGTCTCGGCGACTGAAGAACCACGATATCTGATCATCGGACTCGATCTTCGATTTCACTGAATTCAAACAAACCCAGAAAAGTTTTTAAAAAAATATGTATATAACAAAACCCAAAAGAAAATTTAAAGGAAAAAAAAAACAGAGGAAAGATTAAGCAATACGCACAACGCAATTCCCAAGGGTCCCACATGCAGACATCATCGACCTCGGCGATGTCGTCATCGACGTCGGAGCATCCTCTGATCATCTTAAGCCTCAAGAAGTGATTCATGAGCTCTTCATCTGTGGGTCGGAATCGATACCCGGGAGGCAGATTTCGTGGCACTGATAGACTCATACTTTTTTTTTCCCAACCAATTTTCTTTTGCTTTTTTTTTTTTTTTTTTTGGATTTTTGGGTTTGATGATTTGAGGTGAAGAAAGGGCAATGGATAAACGAAACTGTTAAAGAGTCATCGTGATAGAGCAAGAGACATTGAAGCAGAAAGAGAGTGACTCTCTGGGGTTTTGGTCTCTCTCTCTCTCTCTCTCAAAATGTTTTTTGGTTAGCGCAAGGAGAGAGGAAAACTATCGCAGAGTGAAGTGGGTGAAGTGAAGAACTATTTATTTGATCAGATGTATTCAGTTCCGTATTGCTTGAGTTGCATTGATCAAAAGTCGCCTCCCGCCGTATACTATACCAAGACCATGTACTGTACGAAGACTATGCTAATACTAATAGCATATTTAGCATAAAAAATTATGAAAATAAAATAGTTAATATATTCTAATAGTTCGTGTTTATATTGATTAAGTTTTAAAATTGTAGAAGTAAATTTTAAAATTTCAAAATAATTTTAAAATCATAATATTTTAAACAATTAAATGAAACGGCAAACATATTGACTAATAGTAATTAAATGTTAAAATTTGATATATGTTATATTTAGTTGTAAATTTATTGCTAAACATTATATGTTAAAATTTAATATCAAGAATAGAATTGTATTAAATAGTGATTTTGTTACTTGAATACTAAAATTTGACATTAGCATACTGATTTAGCATTACACTCTATAATGTGTTCCATACCACGTCTTAAAAAAATGTTTGGAGTACCACTAATATTAAACATTACAACTAATAAAAGGCGAATCTTATGTACCTACCTTTTATTAGTGTATATATCTCCTAGCATTATCCTAACTTTTATGGATGAGATTCATTTTTTATTAGTTGTGGTATTTAACAATACTAATGTACTAAACTTTAATTTTTTTAATACAAGACGGAATTGAATCTGCAACTTTTACCTAAATCTCACCCTACCTAAACTCCAGTGTCACTAAACTAAGAGGTCACTAAACTTTAATTTTAACATTTTATCCCTTCAAGTTACAAAACAATTGCAATGCGTATTATTTTGCTAACGGCCGTTAAATTAGTAAACATATAAGCTAGAAACCGCCTAATTCTCGAGATCAACCTCCAAACACTACAGATAAAAGAATAAAAATGGGGTCTATTGCAACTATTTAGCACTTGGGGGAATGAGGTACAAATATTAAAAAGTTTTTAGAACCAATTTGTGAAAATTCAAAAATTGAAGGATTGAAGTGCTAAATCCTTTTTTCTCCTTCCGCCAGAAGCTGTCTACGGGCCACACAGAAGTGGTCACGTGCTCCCGAGTGCCACGTCGGACGAGTGGAGCCCACATGCTCAAACTCTATTAGGACACTTGGGGGAGTGAGGTACAAATATTAAAAAGTTTTTAGAACCAATTTGTGAAAATTCAAAAATTGAAGGATGGAAGTGCTAAATCCTTTTTTCTCCTTCCGCCAGAAGCTGTCTACGGGCCACACAGAAGTGGTCACGTGCTCCCGAGTGCCACGTCGGACGAGTGCAGCCCACATGCTCAAACTCTATTAGGACACTTGGGGGAGTGAGGTACAAATATTAAAAAGTTTTTAGAACCAATTTGTGAAAATTGAAAAATTGAAGGATGGAAGTGCTAAATCCTTTTTTCTCCTTCCGCCAGAAGCTGTCTACGGGCCACACAGAAGTGGTCACGTGCTCCCGAGTGCCACGTCGGACGAGTGGAGCCCACATGCTCAAACTCTATTAGGACGAGTGGAGGCCAAGTGATAGGAATTACCGCGTAAACTGTTGCATCCTTCTGCGTTTGGAAGTTTGTTATTGAGAATAAAGTATACGTCCTTTTCTCGTCGCATTACGACATCAAAAAGAGGGGGGAAAAAAAAAATGTCATTTCAAGGTTTTTGTTGTTTTAAAATTGTTTTGTGCACATATAATATAATAAGCAAATAAACAGAAAAATAAAAAAAGAAAAGGAAAGATAACTGACTTGGATGAGGGCCCCATCTTTTTGTCCCTCTGTATGATGGAGAAATGAGACTTGTTGACTTGGATTCTAGAGAATTTCAAAGTTTATTTTATTTTTTCTGCAAAAAAGAAAGCACTGTTTGGAACTTTCTAGAATTCCAAATAACGCTCTGAACATGGCGACCAAAGTTTAATCGACACTTCACTAGCTTTTTAATAAAGTTTTCATTTCTAAATCCAATCCGTATAACTGAATGTCATATTTTGTGTCATCTTTTTGCTTGCTTGTATCTTTATTCCTCTGTTATGCTTCCCACTTACGTGTGCTTCATCCTATTCACCACTTCTTAAAATATACCAACTTGTGAAGATAACAACCATATTTATCTTACTTTTACAGGGAAGATCATATAATTTCCTCTCTTTTTTGTAATATAATTTCTTATTCTGACTAATGACGTGGACATATAAAACTTCAATTGTAGCTCTCTCTATTTGTATCGGTCAAATATGTGTCATAAATTGTATAATTTGCATATATTTTTCATTTTAATGTAAATTTTACTGGATACAACTATTAGAAACAGATAGTACTAGTAGGAGGGTTTATCGTAAACAAATTCATTAAATAGATACCCTTTGTTTTAAGAAAATGCCATTCGGGTATTAGAAGTGTTTTTTTTTTTTTTTTTTTTTGAGACAAATTTTAAACGAAAGTTCTAAAATAATTCTTTTACACAGAAAATTTTAAATCAATAAAGACATAAAGAAAATTACAAATTACAACTACAAAAAAATTCACTAGTGCCAACGTACTGCTTGAATTTGATAAAAATAACAACGTTGTTAAATTTTACATGTGATTTTCCACCTAAAGGATAACATCACACACATTGAGGTTTTTCATAAACTCAAGGGACATAACCAAGTAATGACTGGGGGGCCTCAACTTTTTTATTTTTATTTCCTTTGTTTCCCTATATTTACATAAGAATATCTTTACAAAGCCCCCTCTAAAAAATTAAAACTATAATTTTATATCCTTTAAATTCTTATTGTAATTATTATGGCTTCCTGACTTTAGTTTCATTCATCTTTTGAACGATCTAAACAAAATGACCAACATTCTAAAAAGAACTAAAATGAAACCCAAACTCCCAAAAAAAAAAAAAATCTCCAAACAAAAACACCAAATCAATCTATGAAGCCAACACAAAATTATATAAAAGAAAAAAAAAATCCCTCTCTGGGGAGACTTCCTATTTTGTAAAGCCAATTGAATACAATAAGCAATAATAGTAAGGGAGAAACAAAGCGTGACCAATTCATTTGACACCAAATAAAATTACATACTAATGACTCCATTGTTATAACAATATAAGAGTGCTTATATACATACAAGTATAGCTATTTCATAACAGCAACACACTGTTGTAGGGTAATTTAACGCTATTGTATGGTGGTGAGAGATGCCGGGCGTATTTCTATACACCAACAAATTAAAAATCTATAATCTATAACTATATTATAAGTGGGAGTTCCCTTTTTGCACTATTTAAAATTTTGGTCAAAAATTTTTTTTTTCTTATTCTCTTCATTTTTTATTAGAAAACTTATCATGGTTTGTCTTTCTCTTTCTCTTTTTTATTTTTATTAAAATTTTGGTCAATTTTTTTTTCTTATTCTCTTTATTTTTTATTAGAAAACTTCTCTTAGTTTGTCTTTGTCTTTTTATTTTTTCTAAAATCATATATCTTTAAATAAATATAATTGAAATGTTTTTATTTTAATTTATCTATATTGAAATAATTTGTTTTGAATATATTCCCAAATACATTATTTTCTTCTAGTCATTTTATGTTATTAAAGACTCCATAAAATTTATTTTTTAGTTAATCGCCACAAAAAAATAATTTTTTCAATTACATTCATATTTAAATGTGTTTTTTTTATTCTAGACAATTTATTTCTTTATTTTTTTTTATCTGTGAAGGAAAATTTCAGGCTATATATAAGAAACTTTTGTCTTTCTATTTTTGGGTTCGTTTGGCATTGTTTTTAGAGGCCAGTTTTAGCTTCTTTTTTTTTTTTTTTTTTGAGAAGCTATAGCACGTCAGAGTGTTTGTTAAATCCCGGTTTTATTTAGCAGCTTGTAAAAACTGCTGCAAAATAGTAGAATTTGAGAAGCAAGTCAGGGATTGCTTTTGCATATATACTTTTACTGTCACTGTCTATATTGATAAAAATAACCTTAATTATAAAATTTAATTCTCTATCTACTCATTTATTTATTTATACTAAATTAAAAAATAGATATATTTTAATTATTTATTTAAAAATTAAAAATCCTTGAAAAATATAATATGTTAAATATTACTTAAATATTTTTCTTAATTACCAAAATGTTATAAATAACAACAATAAATAAAAATTTTAGTAATTTATTTTTTAGAAATATTTTAGATTAAAATTATATATATTTATATGTAAAATATTATAAATGTTGACCTTGAAGATATAAACAAAACTAACTAAAAATATGCGTGATAAAGTATGTCTATTTTAACCATTATACATATTTATAACAACTTTATACATAATTTACCAACACACTTAAGTTTCTGCTTATGGTATTCACAATAGCTTTAAAAATGAATTTACCAAATACCTGCATACTTCTGGTCACAGTAACTTTTTACAAACATCATAGTAACAACAAAACTTTTTAACAACACAACAATGCTAAACTAACCCTTTGTATTTTTGTGGTCTTTTACTTTTTCTTTTTTATTGGAATTGTTCAATGGACAGTTAAGCCATTTGGGGGCGTTTGGTAGATAGATGATTCAGAATCAGTGTTTGTTTACAGTTTGGATGATTCTGGTCATGATTCAGAATTTGATGTGATGTTTTAAACCAAAATCACTCATAATTCTAAAACTACCCCCTCTTGATTCAAGGTGATTTAAACCCCTGATTCTGAATCATGATTTGAACCCAACATCACGAATCATAGTTCTGATTTCAGAATCATGATTAGAATTACTATGCTTTAAATCTTCGTACTAAATGAACTCTATATTTTGTTGTTATTGTTATTGTTATTTTGCTTTTTTCCCCCTTGTTTATTTTTTGTGACCTTTAGGGTGCGTTTGGAATTGGTTCCAAAATGTTTTTATTTTCTATATGAAAATAGAAATGAAAACGTTTTTATTTTCATTTTGAAATTATTTCTTAAATGCGTTTGGTAGTTTTATTCAGAGATTGATTTTAGTTTTAAAAAAAACTGAAACTGCGTTTGG